AAAGTATGGAACAATAAGATGTTTAATATATGATGGAGCTTGATTGTTAAAGGGGCAATATGATGTGTTTCTCAGGCATTTATTCAAATACGATACCATAATAAAGCATCTATGTCACCTTACCTGTTATGACCCACGCACGCGAAGCGTAAGCGGGAGTCATATTGTTTTCGTACTGTTTTTTTTTTTCAGTGATTTTTGGTCAAACATAGCACAAAAACGGCTGCACCGATCAACATGAAATTTGGCAGGACTGTATGAGTCTGACCTACACCGCGCCAGCCAACAGTTTTACGATAGACCCCGTATTTGAGAAGGGGGCTCTTTTCAAAGATGGGGTATCTGGACATTCAAATATGGTTATTGCTCAGAAGCTATTAAACATAGGAGCTTCAGATATTCTTTGGTTGTTTAGCTCTGATTAGGGGCTATCCATCAGGTCAACCAATGCCCGGGTCCCCATCCCCAGATGGCCAGTGGGGAACGGGGGAGTAAAAAAAAAAAAAAAAAAAAAAAAAAAAGAAGACCACCACCCAAGCCACTACAATCTTGGGTTACACCTAGTAGCAAGAAATTTATTAGGAATAAAGTCTTCTGAGTTCTGGTGCATTTGTGCGTGCGGGGGTCATTATGTTACCGCTATGCGGTATCTAGTTTTTGTAATTTTTACATACTGTCACCATATTTTGATACTGTAGTATAACAAAATACCTTCATACCACACAAGCCTCATCATAACTCTATCTATAATCATGGCACTTCATTTAACACCACATTGAATCTGCACTATTGTACTTTTACACATTAGCGAGCTCATTTGTAGACAGGACGGGACTAAGATGTCCTAAAGAAGACTGAAGTGGCAGCACAGCCATTCTTCATTGTTTTTCACCCACTGACCTGGTGACAAGATGATGTAACCATTCTGAACTGTTCTCAATCCCTGACTGGGTGGCTCAGCTGGCTGAGAGACACAACATGTATGCACATCATCACCGAGATGAATCTGGGTCAAACCTTGTTATCTCCTCTCTCCTACAGCTTTCAGAGAAAAAAAAAAACAATCTGTTTTTATCTATTGTGCCAAATGTGACATGAGATTAAAACAAGTCAGTAGGGGAAGGTACAGTAAATCTAGAAAGCAGTTCTTAATGAAACTTAAAGTGCTGAAAGTGCTTACTTTTGTTAAAGATGTACTTACAAACCTTATACAGTCAAAACTGCATCATTTTTGAATTTATAATCATAGTAAACAAGTCATTCAAAAATGCCTCTCTTCAGTTTTGTTTGATTTGGATTATGAGCTTTTAAACCCTGTGTTTTAAACATTTTTATATCCTCTGTGTCCCACCAGCCTGCGATATGAACGTTCATAATCAGTGTGTCATGAACGTGCCGAGCCTCTGTGGAATGGATTACACTGAAAGGAGGGGGCGACTTTACCTCAAGATTGGGATTGAAGATGATAAGATGGAGGTCACAGGTAGGAATTATAACCCGATCTCTCTTTGAACATGCAATAGAAGGAATGGGCTTCAATGCCAAATCTGAGTTTCTGAATACGTAAGTGTGACTTCTCTTGGACAGAGACATGACACTATACCTGTTTCATTTGGGGTCCTGGATCAATTTAAACACTTTTGCTCCTTTTTGGAACAAGGTCTTGATTATTTAATCACACACAAGCACTATCCATTCCAGATTCCAACTTCTTGAGGTCTTCTTGTTCTCACCCTTTTGCTTTGCCTCTTTTTGATTGTAATGTAGTGAATCAAGCTCCTGGCAGCTATATATGCAACACCCATATTTTTGAGGTGCTAATCGATTGGACTTCTCTTGTTAGGACACAATAACTTTGTAAGGTAATCGCAAAATAAAACAAATTCTAGCCCAGCACCGGTGTGATCTTAAGTGTGAACCTTGTTTTGTGACTTTTTACATGGTTACAACTCTTATCAGATTCAGATCGAGGTTTTCAATAATTTATGCATCTCTTGGAATCCAAGATCTGTGCCTGCCTGCTTGAAAGACGGGTTATAACTCTACAACCATTTGTCTCTATTATTTATTAGAATGCTATTTTGTTAGTTTATACAGGCTATCCCTGCCATTTCAATTACCGATGCCTGGGGTTTCAAAGCAACACCTGCAGAGCTCATTAAAGGATGTAATAAGATGTTATAAATAGCAGTTTTAATCCAATGTAATGAATAGAGATGGATGATTCCACCGGCTGCGAATGTCTCTGCAAATCTTGCAGCTGTTTGTTAGCTGTGTGTTTGAGAGTTTAAAACAAATATATACAATTTAGATTTAGTCATGTTTGAAGCCAGCAAAATGTCCCCTGAGAATTGTGAAGAAATATTAATTGTAGTTTTCTTTTCTTTTTTGTTTTTTACTTTTCTGAGTAGGTTTTTGCACTTACAGTTTGGTACTCTTTTACATTTAATTTTTGTTTTTACTTTTGCATGTGTAGACAGGACTTGTTCATTTTTTTAATAATAAAAGACAGGCTTTAGGGTGTTGGGACAACAGATTTGTGACAACTTGTCTCGGTTTGGCAACACCTCGCTTCTGTTTAATGGCGCCATCAGGACTCTGTGCCGATGTTTGGGTTCGCCGAGATCTAACGGAAATTTCTCTGGTTGGGATGCAGCTTTCACTCTCAAACGAGGGGAGCAGCCAGAGGGGTGGCCGTGGAGGTAAGGGCCACCACTGGCACCTGATCGGCCACCCCAGGTGGCACCCCCCAAATGATTGAAAAATGAGGTTGGGATCGCAAGTGCATTAAAAGATGATCAGTTAGAGCAAAAAAAAATAGAGTACATATCTGTCAAGCTGCTGTATTATCTGATGTAGAGGGAACCTTTGAATGTGTAAAGTAAAGAATATTATTTTTTATGTACCACTAAATTAATTAACAGGTCAGTGCAGTAGTCCAGTCTAGCTTTTTTCATCTGAGACTTATAAGTAAAGTCAAGGATTACCTGCCTCATAATGCTCTTGAGAGGGTTATTCATGCTTTTATTACTTCTAGACTGGACTACTGCAACTCCCTTGTGGAATTGATCAGTGTTTGGTTCGTCGTCTGCAGCTGGTTCAGAATACAGCTGCCTGTTTATTAACTGGGACAAAATGTCATGAACACATTACTCCGATTTTGAATTCTCTTCACTGGTTGCCTGTTTCTTTTAGAATTGTTTTAGTTTTTAGTTTTTAAATGTCTAAATAGTTTGGCACCTTGTTATCTTACTGAGCTTTTACAGCCTCACATTCCAAATAGATTCCTAATGCTACGCTCACACTGAATGCGTTTTGAGCTGCAGGAGCATCTAGTTTATATGCAAAGTCTATGGTGGACGTGCCTCTAAGGGTCTTGCAGAGCGTCAGGTCCATTTAGTGCGGCGCGCAAGGAACGTGGAAGGTGCAGCAGAGCATTCTCTGTGCATGCGGTGCGGCGAAAGCAGCGGATGCTCGAGTTCAAAAATCTGAACTTTCGCCGCTTGACATGTCTTGACAACCAATCAGAGAGACTCATTTTTCCACGTGACGGTTTCCTGAATGTTGCCCACTAAACCAAAACAGACAGACAGCAGCTCTTTAGCTGAAATAGAATGTCTGCAGTTGATGTTCTGGCTGGAGATATCAGCACCGATGCAGGTCAGCAGCTTGTTAAACTGACCGCGGTGTTAAACCGGGCTCGAGATAAAAAATAGTCCGTCAGCTGGCAGCTCCTGGAGTGGCGAAACTAACCGAACAAACCACCTCTAAATTATCTGGTGAGTTAATTATCTGGTGTGCGCAATGTTTGCTTGCTCTTTAGTAAATAAAGCAAAACCATTTTCTTTATTTTATCTTTATTTCATCCACTGAAGACAGACCGGAAAAAACCAAGACGCTCCTCCCTCTTCAGACGTGCCTCTAGTCTCAGCACCCACCCCACAAAATTTTAGCTCAATATGTCTAAAAATATTTGAGTTATAGCCATGTGAATTTAGTTTTGATGGCCATCTTGGATTTTGTATTTGGATTTCAGAATACGTATATTGAGCATCACACTCAGCTACCATCACACAGAATTCTATCTTTTTGGCTCAGATGGCAATTGTGAATTTTTGTTTGCAATCAGAGTCTGTTAGGGATCAGTCTCAGTTACCAGTACACCAAATTTCAACTCAATCACTCTAACATCGTCTGAGTTATAGCCATCTTGGATTTTCAAATCAACAGTTGTTAATTTTTGTTGTTTTCATGTGCCTCCTTAAAACCTCCTTGGTAATCCCTGTGCCACCTCTTGCGAAAAAGTCTAGCTCCGCCCCCATCTCAATCACATTAGAAACGCCTAGTTAATCAGAAATAAAGGTGGGGTGGGCCTTGGGTTTTGGCAAAACTCTGATCAAGCAGCGAATGCACACGTGCCATGGATCATAATTTACTGAAGCCAGGGGAAGACGCAAAAAGCATAAATTGCACAGGGCTTGGATAAAGGAGGAGGTTAGCAATTTTAAAGCTCCAGTAGCTGTTGGTTCTACAATCTCTGCTCCCCATTTCTTTGTACCGGTAAGTTTTTAAATCAGTGTTTCCCCTCTGTACATTTTGAAATCTTTCCCGGGGGTGTGGGGGATGATAGGACCCGCAGCCTAAAGTGTAGACACCCAAGATCCTACCTAAAATAAGAGATGCACAACAGTCACAACAAAAGGATGGGTTTTTGTTAATAACTCATTTAATTTAAATGTTGATTTTTGCAGACAGTGTTGATTAATCCTGATTAACCCTGACCAGCTGCTGTCATTAATATTTAACAAATTCAGAGATAATCTGTTCAATATGTTTGGGCCGAGACATTTGCTGCTAAAAATAAATAAACTTCTCAGTTATCATTAGTTTATCAAATTTGCAACAGCAGATTCTTCAGTTTTAGATAATCACTTTGGAGTTTCAATAGTTTCTGTCTTCTAATATGGTTGCTGCAGAGTTTTGTTTGTATTTTTTGCGGAGAGACATTTTGCTTTGTATTTTGAGGGCAACTCTCCTAACACCTCCACCACCCAAGCTGTAATAATAATGAATTAGCACATCTGCTTGAATAATAGTGATGTCAGACAGCTGACCACACACGGACAGGGGTCAGGGTATCACAGGATTTATCCACGTATCAAATCACCACTTGAAAACAGCAGGGTAAATGGTGGAGCATCATAACAAACACTGAACACATTGCAGGAAACAACCTGTGTAAAAATGACAAGGACTTGCTTTGCTGTGCAACACTGTGTGGCACTCTGTGTCTTACCACAGGTTTGTTACCTGCACCAGTAATTAGTTTCTTTCATTAAGCCTGCACAGATCTGGTGTTCAGTGTGATAAATTGCCGTTCGTCTCGGCTAAAAATAAAGGGAAAAATAAATGGAGAGGTCCATGAAACGATCGGATGTCACCCGTGATCATGAAAGATGTCTGATCCTCTCACCTTGAGAACGATTGCTTTTCTTAGCCACTTTATTAGAGTCTCCGTCTTCCAAATGCACCAACATAAATTAGTTGTATGTTGCACATGGTATCGGTTTACTTGTTGCGATGCATCCTTTTTACGTCTTAAAGAATGGTTTAAACGCGTAAACTTGGTGTTTAGTCCTGGTTGTGGGAGTTAATGTGGTCACCAAAGTTGACACGTACGACACGGCTCATTTGGTCAGATATTCTGCAAACCTTGTTCCTGACGTCCAGGTACACTTTACTTGGAGATTATATTGCACGAGTACATAAACGTTGCCGCAGAACAAACAAACCCTGCTGTGGCACAGGCTCTTCCTGATGACTCAGGCCTCGTTCAGTGTGCTGAAGTGTTGAGCCCCTCTGCAAGAATCTGCTTAAAAATTTCTCAGACCAGATATTAAGTGGGGGGGGGGGGGGGGGGGGGGGGGGGGGGGTTTCGCAAAACTGAACTTTTTAAGCTTTATAACATATTTTAATGTCATTCCCTCGTCAAAACCATAACCAGAGTGTTGCTTTGACTCATTCATGCATGTTTGAGAAACCCTTGAATCTTCTCTGGTAGCCATGTGGAGCTGCCTAAACATACCGCTCCTCCGAAGTATTGTTTGAAGTAGGGTTGGGCATAATCGTATCGTGTGCAATTAATCGCCAGAAGTACATTAATCGATTATTTTTTGGCACTTGATGATTAATATGATTAATGCCACCAGGCAGAGTCAGCTTGGTGCTCTTCTCCGCTTCAGATATGACGAACATTTAAAAAAAAGTTCTGTAATTTATTTTTTTATCAACACAATGTAAAATTTGATGAAGTCTGAAGTCTTTAATTTTGACAGAATTTGGAACAGATTTTTATGAATAGCAAACCTTTCCTACTAAATTGGTCATGTGACCAGGACATAAGGATGTCAAGGGACTACAGGGGAATAATCGTCAAATTAATCGTTTTCGACTGAATACCACAATTAATCATGATTATTTTTT